GACCTCTCTCCTTTGTGCCCACAGACAGCAGCCCTCTCGTGGGCAGCACGCCCGCCGGTTATGGGACCCTGACGATAGAGACATCTGTAGATCCCCTCAGCTCCTCAGTTTCATCCGTGGTACGTGGGCGGGTGTGGGCAGGTGGGCCCCCCAGACCCTCCGGCTCCTCCTCTAGCCCGCCCCGCCCCCACCTCGGCCTTCTCTGTCGGCGTCTCCGCAGAGGCTCAGCGGTTACTGTGGCAGTCCATGGAGGGTCATAGGCTATCACATCGTGGTCTGGATGATGGCAGGGGTCCCTTTGCTGCTGTTCCGCTGGAAGCCGGTGTGGCGGGTGCGGCTGCGGCTCCGGCCCTGCAACCTGGCCCGCGCCGAAACACTCGTCATCGAAATAAGAGACAAAGAGGTGAGTCCCGGCCGGCCGGCAGGGGCAGAGGAGAGGGTGGGGTGGGTCTGGCGCTGGAGAGGGTCCGATGCAGGGGGAGGAAGGCGATGGATCCTGCTCGGGTTCTCAGCCCGATCCGGCCCCGGAATCTCTTACACAGGTTGTCCTTTCTGGACCTCAGCTTTCCCGTCTGAGCAGTGGGTAGAAGGGACAGGTTAGGTGGCTTCTGAGAGGAGGATCATCTACGTCCCTGATCCCTGCCTTCTCCAGCAGGGGCCGCAGGGTGGGGCCTGGGAAGGGAGGAGTCTCCTCTGGGACCAAGTCCACGCCTCTGTGTTCCAGGATAATTCGTGGCAGCTGTATACTGTGCAGGTGCAGACTGAGGCCATCAGTGAGAGCAGGTGAGGCAGCCCATCACCCTTCCCAGAAGCCCCTGCTCCCCACCGGCCTCCTGCCACAAAGGCTCTGACCCTGGTGCCGTGCATCCCAGGGAGGGACCGTGGCTCCGTGGGGATGGGGTGGTGCTGGAACGTTCCAGAGTGCCGCAGTAACCCCCACACCCCTCCCAGCCTGGAGCTGCCTGCCCAGGTCCAGGCGGAGGACGGCCGGAGCCAGGCGGCTGTGGGGGCAGTGCCAGAGGGTGCATGGAAGGACACCACCCAGTTCTGCAGGAACGAAGAGGCAGTGAGTGGACAGCTGGGTCCGGACAAGTCCTTACCCGTCCCTGGGCCTCACTTTCACGCTCTATACAGCGATGGATTGGACTCCACGCTCCCCAGGCACCTCCGCTTCCATTGTCCCAAATGTCCCGGATGCCAGCTGAGCACCTTAACACATCCAGGCCTCCCTCCCTCTTTCCTGTGACTCTGGCCTCTCTACCCCTGCCCTCCCCACCCCCCAGCTCCTCTTGGGGCTGCTTTCCAGCCTCTTCTCTCTCCTATGCAGCAGCGGAAGCTGCGATATTACCTCTTCCGGGGCCAGCGCTACGTCTGGATCGAGAGCCAACAGGCCTTCTGCCAAGTCAGGTAGGGGTCAGGGCCGGCGCGCACACGCCGATGCTGGGCTGGGCGGGAGGGGTGGCATGAGGTGGCCCGGCGGGCTCCCCGCAGCCCTGTGCCTTGGTCCCCTGCGGCGTGAGCGAATCCCTGAGCCTCTCCAGGCCTCAGAGTCCCTGTAACCGGGACATGAAGAGAATCCATGCCTCCTAGGGTTATCTTGAGGGGGAAATCTGTAAGCTTCACGTAAAGTCTGGCTCAGCCTCGGGCCAAGGGGGTGACACCAAATCAGACCTGAGGCTCTGGACTGGGACCCTCCATTTGGGGTCTCGTCCCTGCTCTGCCACCTACTTGAGAAATGGAAGCTCACAACACATCTTCAAGTGCAGGGAGCTTGTGTGCAAGGTGATCCCGGGGAACACTGGGGGGTGTGGGGGGAGCAGGAGGTATCATAGGGAGCTTGGTCCCCTTGGGGATCTGTGCCCTCACCCGAGGAGCGAGGAGGCTGGGGGTACTTCCCATCATCCCCCCACCCCCGCCCCACCCGTGTTGGCGGCTGGCTCCTGGCCACGGACGTGAATTCCTTGGTGCTTCCCGGCTCGCGGTGGAGCACCCTCCTGCAGCCAGGAACAACCCGCCAGCGAAGACAGGTGTTTGCAGTGCCAGCTGCGTCTGCAGAAGTGGGCACCCCGCGGACGGGGGGACGGGGCCAGCCTCTGCCACAGGAGGAGAATAGCACAAATGGCTGACGTGTTCGTCACGACGTAGGTGCCAGGGACTAGCCACGCGCTTTGTGTGGCTTCTATTTTATTCCACCCGTAGCCCTGTGAGGCGGGTGCTGTCACCATCCCCATTCCGCAGGGGAGGAAACTGAGTCACAGAGAGGTTGAGTCGCTTGACGAAGGCGTCATCATTGTAAATGATACTCCTGTCACTAAATAAGAGTGGTTCTTGTCGCTATTAAATATTATCAGTCATCTCTCTTTGTTCTTCCTCGGCGAGGTAGTTTGGGGCCAGTCAGAGGGATGGAAGGAGAAAGTTAAGCCCAGAGTTTGTGAGGGACCTGCCTCCTCCTAGGAGCTCAGTGGGCCAGAAGGGACCTGGAGCCCCAAGTCCCTGGCCTGCAGGGCGCCCGGGTCCCATCACCCATCCGAGTCACCCCCCCGCCCCCCGCAGCCTGCTGGACCACGGCCGCACCTGTGACGACGTCCGCCGCTCCTGCTCCGGCCTCAGCCTCCAGGAGCAAGCCGTGAGGTGGGTGCTGCCCTGGACCAGAAGTTCCCTGCGCTCTGGGGACCCCTGTCTTGCTCCCCTGAGTGTGGCCTTCTCTGGGCCTCGGTCTCCCTGGCTGTGAGATGAGGACCTCTGTCGCCCTTGGAGGATCCGGCCGCCACTCCCCCCCTCGCCCTTGGAGGATCCGGCCGCCACTCCCCCCCTCACCCTTGGAGGATCCGACCGCCACTCTCCCCCTCCATCTTTTGGCCTCGTCACTTCTCTCGCAGGAAGACCATCTATGGCCCCAACGTGATCACCGTGCCGGTCAAGTCCTATCCCCAGCTGCTGGTGGACGAGGTAGGGCTGTCCCCGGGCCTCGCCCCAGCTCTGGCCTGGATGGGCTATGTGACCCTGGCCGGGGGCTTGGCCTCTCTGGGCCACTTGCCAGTGGCAGACCAGAGCAGCCGTCCCCTTCTCCACAGGGGAGAGTCATCTCAGACCCAGCCCCATCAGCTCAGGGCCAGGAGTTGGAGTCTCTGATCCAGGCTGAGGCTGGGAAGAGAGGCCCGGAGGCAAAGCCACAGGGGCTGGGCTTCTCCTGTGGGTGAGAGCCGTGACTCTCTGTGCTTAAGCCGCTTTAACCATCTGGCAGCCGTGGAGTAGGGACACTCGGTTCATATGCAAAGAACCCAGGCTTCAGAGGGGTGACACAGCATAGGGGACAAAGGGATCCCTCTGAGGGATCTGAGCACTCTGAGCCAGAGGCAGACGCCCCTGAAGGGGGACAGACTTCAGGAGTCTGGCCCGATGTAAACCCCAGGCAGCCACTCGGGACCTGTGTGGTTTGGGGCAAGTGACTTGACCCTACTGTGCCTCAGTTTCCTCGTCTGCAAAATGGAGTGAGGGTAGCATCCACCCCGTGGAATTGTCATCACCATCGGATGGTACTCAGATGTGGTGCTTAGCAGGGGCCTGGCCTGGAAATGCCCGCGTCCTCCCTAGAGCAGAGAAGCCGGGGGCTCGAGAGCTGTCCGGATGGGGCTGAGCAGGGAAACGGCCCCGTCCAGGGCTGCGCTGGCCCGGGGTCACGGGCCCTGATGCTGCCTCCCCGCCCCTCCCCCAGGCACTGAACCCCTACTATGGGTTCCAGGCCTTCAGCATCGGGCTGTGGCTGGCGGACCGCTACTACTCATATGCCCTTTGCATACTGCTCATCTCCACCGCCTCCATCTGTCTGTCGCTCTACAAGACCAGAAAGGTGAGTGGTGTGAGGGGGCCGGGGCGGGGCAGGCGGGTCCCCGAGGGGGCCACCGCCCACCCACTCCCCGCGCGTCCCCCTGCCCGCAGCAAAGCCAGACTCTGAGGGACATGGTGCAGCTGTCCA